CAGAGTATAAAAAGCATCAAACTCATCAACAGATTTCATCGAAAAGTTTCCTAAAAATCATGGGTAAGCAAAAGAGTCAAAGAGCAACAATTCAATGTCAAGTAATGATGGAGTTTAAATGAACATTTTTTTGCTTCTACGAGTTGCACTCAAAGAGGCCAACCTTGAATCAACAGTCAACCTAAAGGGTTCATCGTCTTGGGTTGCAATCGCACTGTTGATCAGGGTAACTTTACTTTTCTCAACATTTTTTTTTTCTTTTCTTTTTTTCTCTTTTCTCAATCAACAACTTATCATCTTCATTTCAACATCCAACCTGAAGGATTCTCTGAGATCTAGTTTATCAGTAAACAATTTTCTTCGATCTTCAAGCTTTTTTTCTTTGATTCTTTGATCGGTTTATTTAGAGTAAATCTGTTGTAATCGATAATATTTTTTTCATTTCTATCTTCTTCACACTATCTACTCGTCTTTTCTCATCTCTTTCTCTTTTCTTGTGCAATAAAAATTCATGCTGAGGCCTGTTTATAGTTCATGAAGAATGTTAATCTTCTAAGCGTTAGTTTATCATCATTTGTTTGTTTTCAGATTCTTTTTTCTTCTTGTGATTACTTTTTTTCTCTCAATCACATTTTTTACTGTATCTGAATCTCTTTTTTTCTTTATGTCTTACTCAAACTTGTTCGTCGACTCTTCTCTCAACGTAACCATTTAACAATATCAGCGAAAATGCAATTTCTCTCTTTGACACTGTCAACAATAATTCATGTTTTTCGATTTCCATCACACAATATTTATCCAAATTTATCTGTTCAAACATTGTTGAATCAAACAAATAAAAATTCGTCCAAAATTATCATTCATTTTTCATCGACGCAAACCAATTGTTAGAGATTAACAGATACAACCCAAATCATCATGATTAATGAAGCTTCCAATGCAATCCGCTGCAATTACAATCATTCAGCTTATCATCAATATTTGAAAAGACAAAATGCAATTTCGAACAAATAAAAACAAATTTCGCTCATTCTTTAAAAAATGCTCCTTCATATTGAAAAGTAAAAATGAGAATATGAAATGTTCTCAGCAGGGTTGCGTGTTGGAACTTTCATTGAAGCATTTTCATAGCAAACTATAATAACATTATTACTGTTTTCTAGCCAACAGTTATTAAGCTCAATGATAACACTTGATAAGTGCAATAAGTTTTCCAAGTCTGGAAGAAATATTTTCGCCTCTTGAGAGAGAAGAGAGAAAGAGAAGATAAGAAAAAGAATGAAACTTGAAAATGAAACTGGCGACAATTCATATTGTCTTCCTACTTAACTTTATTGACATCATATTTCATCTTAAAATTTTTACAGTAAAACTTGAGAAAAGTTCCAGGAAAAAAAAGAGAGAGAAAATGAGGCGAATTTATTTCTTTCAATTTTTCTCTCTACTCTTTCTCTACTTACAGTTCTCCAGGAAAATGATGATGATAATGATGACCAAGAAGATGACTTGTCAGCAGTTTTACTTTTCTTTCTACTGTTATTGTAATTCATGTAATAACTTGCTTCCAAGTTGATAAAGTTGAGAAAATCTTAGTTTTACTTTTCATTTTTCACTCCCAATGATACAAATAATGATAACAAAAATAACAATCTTTCAAGGTGCTAATGTTGTCTACTTGCTGTGATCATTATCATGGATAAAGGTTTCAAAATTTATTAGCTTTTATACTTCACAATTGAATGGGTGGAGTCCAACTAATAGAAGAAATAAATTCTCGAAATGATTTCTTCTCGCTCATTTTCGATACATTTCATTCTCATCAAGTTTTCATTATAATTATTCAGCAGAATTTTTTACCAAAAATTGCGTGGCAACTCAGAGTGACCTTTGATCTTCAATACAAAACATTTTATTGATTAAGCCAATTTGGAAATATTGATTTCGATGCTTTAATAAGTTCGAAAAGGCACCGCTATGGTGCGAGGTTTCGATGCAGAAAATTTTTCATAATCAGTTTGCAATACACAGTTTGAAAGCTTTGAGCCTTGTTCATGAACTGTTGAACAGAAATTTTTAAAGGAATTTTTTCAACGTCAAAAATGATTCAAATTGGTTGTGCAAATAATATTCGACAGAGTTGTTGGAAATTCACTGAAAGACTGGAATAGATTGACTGATTAAATTGTCACAAATTTCTAGTTGAGCAGCTTTGTAACTCTCAAAATTCTGACAGTTGAGCATCAAATAGCCATAAAGTGGCTAAAATTTGATTCTTCAAAATGTGTGAAAATTTACCATGAAAGCAAAGAATAGAAAAAAATTCCATCAAAAGACTTGAAAATTCGCTCTTTTAATCTAATCCATTCCATTTAATCGAAAATGCATTTCAATTTTTTTAACTAGTTGGACCTCGAATCGACCCATTCTCGTTTCCAAAAGACATGGAAGAAGGAATGAGAAATGTCGCCTTTTGCACAGTTAGTTCAGGTGATGGACCAATTTACATTGATTGGTACAAGAATGGAGTCAAATTGGATTCAAATGGGTTCGGCACTCGAATCGAGATGCTCAATAGCTTTACATCAACGATAACCTTTCAATCATTAACAACCCAACACACTGGTAATTACACTTGTCTAGCATCCAATTCAGCAGCCAGTGTCAACTTTACTGCTGAAATGATAGTCAAAGGTAAGTTGAAATTGTTTGTCAAAAACTTAGACACAAACACATGTAAATACAACCAGAAACAACATGAAGGGAGAATGTAAAAGAAAGCAAAAAAAAAATGAGATAATTAACTTTTCTTTTTTCTTGCCTTTCACTGAAACAATCTTCTTCTTCTTCTTCTAATTCTTTTGGCTTCATCTGTGTTTTGTCCTTCCTTCCTCTTCATGTATCCATCCATTATATACTCTGAATCAAATTGCCAGTCAAGAACAAGCAAAACTGGGGAAAGTGAAAGAAAAGAAAAGAAAGAAGAGAAAGAGGAAAAAAAACAATAGAAGATTACATTTAATAGTTAGCTTGCTCAGAAACAATTAACTTTCAACATTCATTGCAATTGTTGCTTTTCCCTTCATCTCCTTCGATCCTGAAGTGAACAGTCCATTGAACAATTTCAATCATTAATCAAACGGTAACATTGATCAAACTCACACAGACACACTCAACATGAGTTTAATTGAAACCAGTTAGTCATTGATATCTTCATTGATCTTTAATATGAAAATTTATGTCAAACTCGAACACTCTTTACGAACTTTTCCCTTTACCTTCATTTTGTGATAAATGATGGCAAAGCGAATTAAAGTTTGCCTTTTTACCATCAATTTTACTAACAAAAATTGCCTCGAGATTTGTTGCTTTCAAACCTTGATTCGACTTTAATCCATGAGAATTCAATTGATCTGAAAAGATTGAAAGCTTAATAATTTAATCAGCCGATGGTTTAATCTGAGATCAACTTTTCTTCGAAATCTACTGATTTTGGATGATGAATTTCGAGATGAAACTTTTGTGGTTCAAAGTAAGATTAATGAGTTTTCATTTTTCCTAATTTTTCAGTCTTTTTTTGACATTTTTTTTCGATAATTTTTTTCTTCTTGAAATAAGATCATCTCTTTCATCCCTCAACGCCATCATCTCTTCTTTATCCAATCAATTTCAAGTACTTTTTCTTTCAATGAATTGAAAAGTTCATTTCTTTCAATTGGAAACAAATGCCAAATCAAAACTGTCGATTTGATATACAGATGAAGATTTTGCAGTTTCAAAAGTCTATGAGAGGAAAGAAAAGTGTTGTCGAAAAAAAAGACTAAACAAAACTCGACACTTATCCTTGTTCAATGACACATATTAAGGATATTTTCATTCTTTTACTTTTCTCTGGTGAAGAAAAAAAAATACGAACTTACTCACACATAATCAAGGGTTATCAATCAAAAAGCAATAAACTGAAACCTTAAACAATCTCTTTTACTTGACTCATCATTTTATTCCAACTAAAAACTCTCAACATTAGCACTTGTGCCTTTTACCAGTCACTGATTTATTCGCAAGCTCAGCACTTTTTCCTTGACTTTTTTCTTCTTTCACTTTCCCCCAACATTTACAACACAAGTTTGTCTTGGCATTAACAAGAGTTGAAATAACAATTGTCAAGTTGGTGAAAGGTTAAACTCGGCAGTTGAACAGTTTCATTGGACAAACTTTACATTTAATTTGACATTTTGTTTATTCTTGCACATTTAACTCATCATTAACTCATCAATTAGAATTGCAATTTCGTCCATTTCAAATCAATACGCTTGGGAGTTGGAAATTAACTGGGAGTGAAATTACAGCATTCACTCCCAGTTTCCAAGTTTAATATTTTTTTCTTCAACTGTCCATCAACTTTAATTCGTTAGTTATTATTTGCAGGAAAATACTTCATTTTTTAGGACTTCAGCCGGAATCATGCGAATGAATTTAAACTGAAGAATATTTTTTTCTGCAGATTTTTTGATTGATATTTTATTTGCTTCACTTTCCGTAGTTCCTTTGTTTCCTGGGAAAGGCAAATATTTACCATTCTTGTGGTCAGTAAAGTGTCAAACAATTTCAAAATTGTAACAACCAATTGAGATTCCAAATTCTTAGAGCTTCTTTTCTGCTCATCAGGGATTCCAAATGATTGACAGAAACAATAAATAGTAGCAAAAAGTTGGGAAAATTGCATAATAACTTTATCCGTTTCTCACTCCCAGTTTGCTATCAATTATCTATTATCATAGTTTAGAGTTTTGAAGAATGCTGAAAATTTTTCTCTTTCTTTTTTTCCATTGATAACATTAATTTTGCCATTGTCAAGTTATTGTCTCGAGCATTTTGAACAATATTCTTGGTAAAGGTGACAAATAAATAAATTGACTCATATTTTATGGAAAAGCTGAAAATTTGAACAGGAATGAAATTTCTCGATACGTTTGTTACCTGTAATGCTTTGAACTTCTGACAGCCTCAAATATTTCAGTTTCAGTTTTCACTCGAAATTCAAACTCTCATCTTATAAAGCTCTATATTGTTCAAGTTATCACCAGGAATGATTGCCCATCTTGAAATTCATTTTCAATCCATTCAATAGAGTAAATAAGTTATAGAATTTTGAAACTCGATAATTTAAAATTGGTAAAGCAATAAATTACCAACTCACGCTGATAGTTCACACTATTCAAGTACTCAAATGTCAATTTTGGTGATTTTCGTGGTAATTCTTATGACCTCGACTGAAGACGTAAAAATTCTGACTAAACACCAAAGTTTTTAGAAACGAATAATTCGTTAAAAATTATCATAAATCTAACTGGGAGTAAATATTATCATAAAGTGTGTGAAATCTGAGGTGGTTTACACTTCATGTGAATTATTTATTGTTAATATTGAGCAAGTTTCCGTCAAATGAAGTTCTGTCCACTGAGTATCAGGAAATATCGCTGGATTTCGTCAAGAAACTTGTCTGAATTCTATTTTTTCTTTCATTAGTTTCACCAACTTGGATCAAAGAGCCAGTTGACTTGGAAGTCATCAATGGAGCAAAGGTTATTCTTGATTGTCAAGCAGCTGGATTCCCCGAGCCTCAGATTCGTTGGAAAAAGGAAGAACTCGATTCCAACGAAGCCAAAGCTACTTTTAAAACTATCATAAGCAATCCTCACATGCATATTCTTGAGAATGGTTCATTGTTCATCTCATCAATTGGATCATCTGATTCAGGCAAATACATGTGCCAAGCAACAAACGGAGTCAATCCTGCATTGAGTAAAGTGATTAACGTAAAATCTCACAGTAAGTTGAATTGTTTCGCACTAATATCAAGTTAACCACAGAAAGTAATTAACAGAAAACATATCTCAATATGTTTTTCCTGCAAAAGAGTTTCGTTAATTTTCACCAGCACTTTGGCACAACCTATTAATCATGTTTTTGCTCACAAACATGATAATGTTCATTTCCTGACAAATTGTTATTCAACTCATCAGCAATTCAAATCGAACTCTTTTATTTCACTTTTTTTCTGAACCATCATAAACTATTCCCTGGGAGTGAATAAATATTGCTTTACGATTCTCTTTTTTTTCTTACTCCATTGAGAGGCAACTTTTGGTCTCTTTCGTTTCAAACACAATTAATTTCTTGACATGATAATGTTCAATCAATTGTACTCTCTTGTTTGTGTTTTCCTTCCTTTTCTCCTAATTTTCACCAATAGAACGATATTTTTCACCAATTGACACTATTATCATCATTATCATTACTTTCATCGTTATTATATGCTTTATGCCTGTCATTATTGTTATTGTTATTTTCCTCTCACACTTGCCATTGTTATTGTTGCCTCTACTTTTCCTAACGAAACTGTTGATAAAGGTTCACCAAATTGACTTTGTGAACGCTTCGATAAGCACAATAACAGAAAAAATGATAATAATTTTCACTCCAAACTCCATCATTTAACATGTGCGCTTACTTATAGCTTCTCAGCTCATCATCTGCATTACACTCATAATGACACACAAATCAATAAAGACTGTTATTAATAAACTTTTTCTTGCAGCATCACTCCCAGAGTGCCTTTGGTTATTAAAAGCCAGTTATCAAAAAAACTGCAGATTGTAGCTTTAGGTGGTTTGACAAACAGCAGAATGATATTCAATGCTGAAAATAATACATTCAAGGTTTTCCTGATAATTAGCTATTCCAATTTGTTTCGTCGAAACAGGATATCAAAATTTAGAAAAGTCGACTAAAAATAGTTTTTCTTTTGTCTTATTGCAAGGAATGTTACACTCTTCACATTCAATGAGAATGCTAAGGAATTTTGAATTCCCTTAATTGATGACTGGGAGTGATTTTATCGTTGATCGTTTGTAAGATTATTTTTCCTTCCAAGTCAATTCTAATATTCAACTTATATTTTTGTGTCGTGAAATCCAATATCATGAGAAGATGGATGATGAAAGTGAAGAAAAGTTGAATTGAAAAAAAAGAATGGAAAATAAGACAATTGAATGAACAGAAAAGTCTTGGAATGAAAATTGAAGGAGAAAAAGGTTGATAGCATTTCAAAGTAAATGGATAAATAAACTGAAGATGATGTAAACGATGAAGATGAGTGAGGAAAAAATTTAGTTGAAAAGACTTATTCAAATTTCGAATGTAATCCAATTTTTTTCCTCATTTACTTTTAAGTGAATGAAAAGAGAAGAAAGGTGAAAAACGAAAATAGAATTTAAATGATTCACAGATTTCTCAATTATCTTCATTGACATCATCATCATAATCACCATTTACCATTTAACTGAAAAAACTTTTGTTTTTAATCTGCATTCAAGTTTCCAAACTAAATGCTAAAAGTTTAAACTTGGATATTTGATAAAGCTATTAATATATGCAATAAAAATTGTAAAGTAAGTGATAAAATTACATTTAATAATTGATAACATTTTTTATTATTCTTAAGGTTAAGGGAGGTAACAGGGAAGGAAAACAATATTTGCCAAATTGAATTTCAACTTTTATTCTCTTTTTCATCTGATAACCTTAAGTCTCATCGGGTATTACAGGGAGTAAAATTGTGCTGAATAATGATATTCAAATTCAACAGGGAAGGAGAAGGTTGAAAATCCCCAGTCAACAGAAGATTTTTTTGGGTAAACTTTTACAATTTTTTTACTCATAATTGAGTCAAAAATTCTAGCGCATGGAGCGATACTCAATTTTTGACTCAAGTTTAGATGAAAATGAGTCAAAAATAAGCGTTTCTCGCAAAATTCTCAAAGTTGAGAAAATCAGATTTTCAATTGATGCGTTGTCAGTTTTATGAGTAAAAATAGAAGACATTTGAGATTCGTCATAGTTTGAAATTTCAACGCATGAAATTTATTACAACAAGTTCTAATAAATAGACATAAAAATAAAAATTTGAAAATATAATGAGTGAATTTTACAATTTGAAAATATGTGAAAAATAGAAAAATTCGTGAATTCGTTGAAATTTGATAGAATTGAATAAAAAATTTGAAATTGGAATAAATGAAATTAAGTCAACACTAGATGTGTTTCTAATCCACTTCCATAGGAATCTCTTCAATGTCAATTTCCATTGGTATTTCCTTTTTCTCTGTCTCTTTTTCCTCCGCTTTTTCAGTGTGAACTATCATTTCAACGTTGATTTTCAGCTGCTCAGTTTCTGCTTGAATCCTGGAATGATAAACAGCTTTGATTTCATGTCCGCTTTCGGGTAGTGAAAACCAAAAATCAATTCTTTCAGTGGCGAAGCTTTCTTGATTGATGAGATTCATGATGAGTTGTTGGAAAATATCTAAATAGCTGAAACGATGGAATCTAAGCTAATAGATTGGAATGATTTCTGTTTACAATTTCTGTTGCTCTAAAGATGAATCTTTAATGTTGATTTTCACTGATTATTGAGAACTTGATAAATGTTGATGAGAATTATTAATTAAATTCACTTGATAATTAAATTTGTCACAAAAAACTGAATTTTAAACTTGAAATTTATCACGAATTAAAGAATTGAAAAACTAAATACTAAAAGCGGAAATAATCGAAAAATGTTCGAAAAAGCTAACGAAAAAAAAGCTGCTCAAGCGCTATCGCTTAAGTGTTATTCAAAAAAGATTCTACGAGAAAATCGTTATGGTATTTTGGATGAAAATCCGTGCTTTTAATGAGAATCCCTTTTCTCTCGACATCTTGGACTCGGATCATGTTCTCGTCTGTCAATCCTTTGATTATGTGAATGTGATCCAAATCTAATGAAAATTCACCAGTAAAACCTTTGAATTTAACATTCAATTTTTGGCTTTTGAATTTCGGACCGATGAGAAAAAATTGATTTTTCAATTCAACGATGCACTTGATTTGCAGAAAAAATCCTTCCTTTGTTTTTACGATCGAATCATTTCTTGTTTTATCTTTTGAATAGTCTTGGGTACTGAATCTAACAGAATTGTAGGAAATCGAATTGTGATAATGAATATCTGATTTTCTGCCAACAATATAAATTCCAAAGTTGTCGATCAACAAATCTAGAGCCAACTTCTTGATTCCATCATCTGGATTATCTAGTTTGACGGCTGTGATTATTGCTTGACCACTTTCACATGAATTTATTCCAAAGTTCTTCATAACATTGGCTGGTAATTTCCATTTTTTGACTTTCGTCTCTATCAGTTCTCGATGTTTGAAATCATTCATAAAAACACGGACTAAATTCTGTGCTATATTTGAGCTTCTTCGCACTTTATCTTTGAGGATTCCCATCTGATTTTCACATGGATATGCAGAAATATTGGCGAATGGGCCAATGAAAGAAACTGAATCGGAAAGATGTGAAAGTATATGGAGGTTGTAAGTAAGTTGATTTTTTCCATACAATTTCTGGACGCCAGTCTGGAATTCTATTATCAAATTCTTGATTTCGACAAGAAAATCATTCGGGACATTCGGTTGATTTAGAATCGAATAAATTTTTGTCAAACATAAAATGTTGTTAATGAATCTCGGTCTAAGTAAACCTTTAACGCATGGAAATAGATAATAGCATAGCATGCTATCATACTCAGATGACTTCCAATATTTCAACTGATTCAGGTCACGCGGTATTCTGGGAGATTCAGAAGGCACCAGAATCGACTTCAAACGATTTCCCAACTCCGTTTTGAAAAGATTTCTTTCAACACCTGTTTCCATTATTCCAATATTATCACTTCCTAACCAGCCTTTGAAAATTATATTTCTGAATATTCCCAACACTATGCAGTGCATAGGTTCCACTGAAAATCCATTCACAATGTCAAAGTCAGACAATTTTAGAAGGGGCGAATATCCAACAAGACCCATGAATCGATTCGTGTCGAATTGAATATTGTCTGGATTTTCGAGAAATTTTTCGAAATTGAGAAAATCTTCTTTGGTTCTTTTGAGATCCATCATTTCATTATATTGAAGAACTGGATAAACTCTTGCTCCTTGGTGTGTTCCAGCTCTAACAAGGCACCAATCGCATCCATTTAGATGATTGAACTGCCTTACATTGCGAAGATAAGCTCGCATTGGTGCGTCAGCGATAGCAGCAATTAGATGAAAAGTAGCTTTCACGTTCTCTGAACTTTCGGTTTTCCAAGTAATCGGAGATTCCGAAATTGTTGACAATTCTTGAATGATAGGTCCAAGATAAATTTCGACCGGTGGTTTTTTTCTACCCACGAAAAGACCGATAAGAAAAAAATTCTCCTTTCTGAATTTTTTCGCCATCTCATTGACTGTCATAAAAATCGGGAAAATCGAAACGTTTGAACTATTTCCAGCTGTAACCTCGTCAGCGTGCAGAGTCAATGTGTATCTTTTAATATTTGAGTTAGAATTTGAAATTTTCACGCGTTTAGCAGCAGAAGAATTACAAATATCATCAGGATTTTGATGATTTTCTTGGAAACATGAATCTGGCAGCAATGGCAAGTGAATTTCAAGCTGAGGCTTGAAAAGTATATGTAAAAAATAACGATCTGGTTTCAGCTGGGCTTGAAAAATTTCCCCTTCACAAACATAAGTTCCAAAATTCTTGACTTCTCCAAAAAAAGGACCGTGTGAATGATTCTTTTCACAAATGATGTAGACAGCAATCGCACTAGATTTCGCTCTTTTATCCCAAAAATACCGTATATTTGGAAGAAGAATCTGATCTTGAGAAAATCTTGAGATGAAAGCATTGATTAAATTGACAATTGTTTCAGATGCACTCAAAGTAACTCCAGGGCAAG